ACCGTGAACCAGGCCACGTTACAACCCATAAAAGTCCTTACTGAAGCATGGGTCAATTTGAAAGCGTGCTACAGCGAGATAGCGTTTAACTGACTCCTAAGAGGTACGTTCCAATATCTATTTTGGCATCATATGCTTTCATTATCTTCCATAAAAAAGGAATTTGCAAATGTTTCTCTCTAGCTAGTAACTCGTTCACGACAGAGTTGTGACGTCATTTCATTCAAAGTTTTTTCAAACTTCAAGACTTACATATGTGTTGCATTAGAATTATCATTCTCATAATAAACATTCTTCTGCATACAAAACAACTAATTGACACCAAGTAAGTTTACATAATGAACAATTGGTAAAGAGCTCAATCTTGTCAGAGAAGAGAGGCTTGAATACCATGTTGAAGCAAGAGTCAGCTGCCACAAGAGAAATGACTTATCCAGTAGCATGATTGACCGGTGATTCTGTCAAGAGGAATCATCTTGGTACTTCACAATATGATTATAATTCAAGGATGAAGTTAGCAGAGCCAGCCAATCTGGGGAAATCAAGTCAAGAGTCGATCTCTCCAAGTTTAGCCAAATCTGGGGCATTCCATCAAAGCTGTCAATCGGAGGCTATCACGTCGATAAATCTCTTCAAGCTCAATCAATCAGAGGTTATCACATTGAGGAATCTATTCATAATTCATTCAACCTGGGGCAGTTACGTCGAGATTCGAAAAATATCTCCAAGAAAGCTGTAATCAAGAGAAGTCTATTTCGTGGCTCAAGAGATTGGGGCAGGCCACTTCATATCGTATTGTGGCACAAATCTTCTGATCTTCTATTCAACATAGATCTTCTCAGAGACCCTTCAGACAAGGGCATTCCTCATCCATACTTGCAAAGTTGCTCAAGCCAATTATGTTGTACGAGACTACGATCAAGCTAAAAGCACCATAACGGTCACCCTGACCTAGCCAGCACATGAAGCTGCCTTCATCTGCTACAGACAATTTCAAATCTTATTCCCCAAGTGAATTCAGAAAGTCTAGAATCGTCTTTTGACTCAGCACGCGTAAGTGCATCCTCAGTGGAGTTAATCAAGAACATCCCCAATGGAGCTAAACCGGGGCATTCGCATAGCTAAACCGGGGCATTCGCATAGCTGAACCGGGGCATTCGTAGAGCTAAACCGGGGCATTCACAGAGTTCAACCGGGGCACTCGTAGGCGTCCATGCCCATCTCTTATCCACAAGTGATTCAAGAGATAATTCCCCAGTGTGCGTAAACTTGGGACATGTATTCAGATAGATCCACATGGTGTTCAGTATCCATTCTTCGGCATATTCACTTCTATCACCCCCTCAACAGTTCATGATGTTTGGAAGTCTGGCCAGGTTATCTCTTCCCAACGGTATGATTCAGAATCCGGCATCGTACCCGAAGACTCGTTTCGTCGGCAATTCAATCTCCAACAGAGTCATCAACAATCTTCGGTATCATGGTCTCCCCAGGGCAAATTTTTATCAGTATCCCCAACAACCTTTGATACTACAGGCTTCCAATGTCGATATATATTGACATCCCTAGTGATGAGCAGTGGTTCCCAGCAAACCTTCTCTTATCCCCATGAAGTTTATTTCTTTGCATTGCATATAGTTATCATTACATAACATTGCATCCTCAAAAGCGCGTAGCTGGTCCATCAGAGTGGATCTTTGCGTCAAAAGAAATTCAAACATGCATACAAAGCATAAGCCATACCAGGTACCTTACATGAAAGACCTGAATTATTCGAGGACAACAATACATCCCTACAGGAGGGTATCATGCCCGAAATCCCCAATCAGTAACCTTCACCTTTTCAATGCCAAACAAAATTAATACACTTTGCCGTTCTAAACCCAGTTATTGTCTGGTAGTCGGTTCCCTAAACACTCGTCTGTGTCCATTCCTAAGCACTCGTATGTGTCAAGTTTCCTAAACACCCACCCAGGTCAGTTATTCAAACACTCGTCTGTGTTTCCCCTTTTGATACTCACCTGTATCTTCTTTCAATACTCGTCCGTATTGAATCAAACACTCGTCCGTGTTTAACCTTTGATACTCGTCCGTATCTCCTTTCAATACTCGTCCGTATTGATTCAAACACTCGTCCGTGTTTAAACTTTTGATACTCGTCCATATCTCTTTTCAATACTCGTCCGTATTGATTCAAACACTCGTCCGTGTTTAAACTTTTGATACTCGTCCGTATCTTCTTTCAATACTCGTCCGTATTGATTCAAACACTCGTCCGTGTTTAAACTTTTGATGCTCGCCTGTATCTCCTTTCAATACTCGTCCGTATTGAATCAAACACTCGTCCGTGTTTAAACCTTTGATACTCGTCCGTATCTCCTTTTCAATACTCGTCCGTATTGATTCAAACACTCGTCCGTGTTTAACCTTTTGATACTCGTCCATATCTCCTTTCAATACTCGTCCGTATTGAATCAAACACTCGTCCGTGTTTAACCTTTGATACTCGGCCGTATCTTCTTTCAATACTCGTCCGTATTGATTCAAACACTCATCCGTGTTTAACCTTTGATACTCGTCCGTATCTCCTTTCAATACTCGTCCGTATTGATTCAAACACTCGTCCATGTTTAACCTTTGATACTCGTCCGTATCTTCTTTCAAACACTCGTCTGTGTTTAACCTTTCTTGATGCTCATCCGTGTCGCTTATCTAAACAATCATCATGTCATAACCCATGTTTTCATCGTCGAACCTGAGATTGCCTCTTGGCTAGGTTCTTCCTTCAAATCGTCGTCGAACCTGAGATTTCCCGTAGGCTAGGTTCTTCCCATAGATCGTCGTCGAACCTGAGATCGCCTCTTGGCTAGGTTCCTCCTTAGATCATCGTCGAACCTGAGATCGCCTCTTGGCTAGGTTCTTCCCTCAAATCATCGTCGAACCTGAGATCTCCTCTTGGCTAGGTTCTTCCCTCAAACCTTCGTCGAACCTGAGATCGCCTCTTGGCTAGGTTCTTCCCTCAAACCTTCATCGAACCTAAGATCGCCTCTTGGCTAGGTTCGTCCCTCAAATCACCGTCGAACCTGAGATCGCCTCTTGGCTAGGTTCTTCCCTCAAATCACCGTCGAACCTGAGATCGCCTCTTGGCTAGGTTCCTCCTTAGATCATCTTAGAACCTGAGATCGCCTCTTGGCTAGGTTCTTCCTTCAAATCATCGTCGAACCTAAGATCGCCCATAGGCTAGGTTCTTCGCTCAGATCATCGTCGAACCTGAGATCGCCTCTTGGCTAGGTTCTTCCCTTAGATCATCGTCGAACCTGAGATTGCCTCTTGGCTAGGTTCTTCCCTTAGATCATCGTCGAACCTGAGATCGCCTCTTGGCTAGGTTCTTTCCATATACTTTTTCTTAGGACCTGAGATCGCCCTTTGGCTAGGTTCTCTGTCAAATCACTCTCATGTGTCACCTTAGGATCGTAGGTCGCCCGTAGACCTCGTCCGCTGTCTTTTCATACCAACCATTTGTCTTGTATTGGCATCAGGCCACGTTACAAGTCCAATCTCTGTCTCTTCATTGAAAAAAAAAATTCTTTTCCCCTTCAGATAACACAAATAAATAAATAAAGAAAACACTTACTCTCTCTCTCAGGACAAATTATTGGCATTGATATTTAATCATCTTCAACCTTGAACTTCCGAAAGGCATGTGCCAATCGTACTTTCAGGTTTAAGACGATTAAATAGGGGCAGCTGTAATACCCCAAATTTGTCCTACCCTTCTACTTTTATCTGGTTTACGCATTGTCGCACTTTTCTCATGTACATAACTCCATTAGGTCATTTAACATTGCATACATTCGCTAACAACATAACTTGGCATGGGATCAAAGATTTTGAGGTGTACGGTTTCTCTTTGGCTTTAAGAGTCTCACTTTCATTCAAGGCTGATTCATGTTATTTACTTAACAATCTTTGGCTTATGGAGCTAGGGTTTTTGTGTGCATGATTCATTGAGAATTTCTTGCATCGGGATATTATAAGACATCCATCTTTAAGGTCCCTTCAAAAGCATCAAGTGTTTACTACCTTCTCAATGACTCGGATTCAAATGAGAATGCTTTGAATTAAGGTTTTTGTACTTATCTTCATCGTTGCAAGGGTTAGATTCCTGATAGGAGTCTATGAGTTTGAGGATGCTTGGGTGATACTTTGGTTGCTCGGGATACAGGGTACAAGATATGGTTTGTGGATTCAAAACATCATCACTCTGTTAGATATCAGTTACTTATCATGCAAGTTAAGTCTGGCTCAAATTTGGAGAGTTAAAATTAGAGGTTCATTGAGAATGCAAGATAACTTGGATTTGAAGTCGATTCAAGTGGTTCCATTATGAAAATTTGGTAAGCATTCGATCATAAGGATGTTTTTTGAAAGCAAGATGCAAAATATAAGGGCTAAGACACAAAGGCATTCGCACAAAGTTCGACATTGTTCAAACTCTTCATCCGTAAATTTCATCATCCTTTATCCAAGTTTATCCAAACTAAATCATTTCCAAATCCATCATTCATCATTATCATTCAACAAAAGCTTGTAAGGTTGTGTAAACCTCATTCAAATTTCTCATTATTCATTCGAACATTAAAGAATAATAAACATGAATTTCTGAGTGATGGAAATAAAGTATGGATCTTTTAGTCATGGCAAGCTTCAAACTTGAAGTTCCGTTCGAAATGTTATTCAAGTATCGATAAAATCTTATCCAAATTCATTCAAAGTCCAATTAGAGTCTGAAGCATTTCATTCTAATAAATCATCATATGCCAAGGTCATTCATGATCCAAAAACATTACAAATATACAAATTGAAAGCATGTTAGACATTACAAGTTCAGTTCTAAGCTTATCCTAAACCTAAGCTAAGCCTTATTTTTGCTACGATCTTCGAAACTTCGTGTTGATGCCCTCAATAATTGTTGCCTTTCTCCCCATATCTTAACTCTATCAAACTTGGCTTTTCATCCTCGCACCATCGAATTCCAAACCTGCAATCAAGAAATGGCTACAAAACAGCCTGCACAATCCAGAGAAGACACCCTGTTCAAGAAAAATTAGCAGAATGAAACCAACTGTCAAACAGAATAAAACTCTATAACTGCTAGCCAAAACAGAATTTTATAAATTCCCTAAACCATTTTCTAAAGCAGCCCTGCACATAAAACTCTAAACAACCAACTTTTCTAACAGCTTTCATAATCTGTAACTAACCTAACCAATTCACCTCCTAACCATTTTCCCATTCCTCAAACCTCTAACCAATCATAACCAGATTCATAACTAACTTAACAAACCTGTAACCAACTGCATAACAAAATTTTTGATAACTACCTCCTAACTAACAAATAACCAGCTTCTAACAGAATGTCACAACAAACCTTTAACCAACTTTCTATACAATCTAACAAACTTCCAGCAGAAAAATTCTAACACACTATACAAAGCAGAATTTACCTCTTTCATTAGGCATTCTTCAGCATTCTGGAAGCATCACCACAAAAAAATCAGAATCATCTATCTACTCTCTTTTCAACTGAATCATCATCACATACCCCTCCAATCTCTGAATTTCCCTTCATCCTCCCTAGGAATTTCTGCAAACTGCTTCACATCTTCATCACTCATGGACAATCTACAACATTGCAACAATCACTTCAGTTCTTATTGCTGTAACTTCTCTCCATCAACACAAATCCATCAACAATCCGCATTTTCAACATCGCATCTTCATCTCTGTTTCGAGCACCATTTCAACCTCCTTCATTTCCCCTTCAAACGCAATTGCAATATCATTAAGAATGCACAATTACATCAATATAGCGGCAAAGTAAAAATGCAGAAGAAAATTGGGGATGGGAAGAAGGTGTACGAGTTGTGATTTAAACAAAAGGAAGAAGAGTGAATCTGATGGTAATCGTACCTGGAGCGAGAATTATCCAGTGTTCTATCTTTGTTCGTTGTTGTCAAAGACGCACCGTACGTTCTCCTACTCCTTTGCCGCCGTTTGAATCTGAAGAAAAAGAAGATGTGATATGTTAGACGCATGAAGATGAGAAGAGAAACACAATGAAGATCCAGAATTGACGATGATCGTAAGGAAAACAGTGGCGACGCTGTGTTGAGGTCGTCGGAGACGAAAATCGTCAGAGAAGATCGTTCTGAACAGCGGTTCGATTGACGATCAAGTGAAGCATGAGCGAGACGGCGGTGAACGTCATATATCGGTGGAGTTTGTAAGGCGAATCCGGAGATCGTGAGGTGAGATGTTGGGTTGAAGGAGAATCGCGACGGAGGACCGGCGAAGAGAAAAGGGGAAAATCGTCGCGTAAGGGACCTCGTTCACGAAGAAGATGAGGCGACGCTGTCTTGAATCCCTAGATCGTCCCTTTTCCTTTCAATTCTGAATTTGTTTATTCTATTTTATATATTTTTATTATTCTGATGATTAATGAAATTGAGAATGGGTTGAGGGATGTTATGGGTATGGATGGACCGAACCAATTGATTCATGGACCCAACAAATTTTTTCTGGTTGCTTTTTGGTTTATTTACTATAAATTTTTTTTTCTTTTGGGTTTATTTTGATGGGCCTAATGTCATTCTATTTTTTTCTTGCAGCATATATTGAATCCAGCTTGCACCTCCTGGGGTCTTATTTTCAATACTTATTTCGATTGCCTTTGCCATTAATTTTGGTGATTTATTTTCTTTAGTGATATTGGTAAATAAAAGAGATTTCTTTTCACTTCTCTCACTTTTTTTCTTTCTTTTCAATTTTAATCATTAGTTTTACTCATTTTTTGTCATGTGTTTCGTTTGCGATTTTTGGTATGGATTGTATGCGATATTTTGATACTTGCTGCCTAATTTTACTTGTTCGTATATTATTTCATGATTCCTTAGGAGATTTTGGTTCAAATTTAATCTTCGATTTAATTGAACTAAAATTAGACATTAGGCTTTCAAATCCAAGCATGCTAACATTAAGTAGACGTTTCCCTTTCATTCATCCTTGACTTAGGTCTATCAACACACGATAACATCAGGTTTAGAAATAGGCTAATTCCCCTTTAACTTTGCTTCCCTTTTTGCATACGCATCTAAAACTAAAACTCTTTTTTTTTTCAAAAATTCAAAACACTTTAAAACTACTGATGAGAATCATGCCTTTGCTTAGTATGGGAAATGATAAGCGGGTCTCTTCTCGATCTTATTGTTCTTCATCTCAAGCCTAGGTGTGGTTCAATTCTCAAAGACTCCTTTCATGACTAAGTAGAAAAATGGATAATATCTCTCTCTTGAGGTCAATCAGTCATCATCTGCAACAAAAATACAAATCAACTCAAACCATTTTGTGCGCTCACGCACCTCTCTTAAGAAAAACCCTTTTCAGGTAAGGACACGATTAATTTACTTCTGTGCCAACGCATAAGTCTCCAAAGGTCGAGCTGCGGCAGAAGGCGGAATTAACTTCATCCACAAAACAACACAAACAAACAAAAACATATGAGCCGAACTACGGTAGCTCTGATTCCTTAAAACAGATACGTAGGCATTAGGGTAGGGCCCAAACGAGCACAATTTTATTTTCCCTGCATTCTTTTCTCCTTTATTTTGCATGCATTCCCTTCAGTAGTATAGTAGACAGTAAGCATAGATTAAACACACCCATAAGATAGATAACAAGAGTGGATACCGTAGAGTACTACGGGCGTGTGGGGTGCTAATACCTTCCCCTCGCGTAACAGACTCCCTTACCCGATCTATCAGTCGCAAGACCGTGACTTCTCCCTTCCTCAGGTTTTCTCGATGTTTACCTTTCCCTACTTGTGGGATAAAAGACGTTCGATGGTGACTTCATTGTTTGATGATTTTCAGCCGGTTGTTTCATTTGGTAGAGATGGCTTTCCTGGCTGGATACAGGTGTAGACCTCTGACCTGAGAATGAAAGATAATTTCCTGGCCTATTACAGGTGTTGATCTTCAAACTCTTCATGCAGATACTTTCCTGGCTAGTTAAAAGTATAGATCTATAATCAATCGCTCACAGATATGCCCTGGCTAGATACAGGTATCAAATCTGGAACTTCAAAAGGTTGGTAGAGATGGCTTTCCTGGCTGGATACAGGCGTAGACCTCTGACTTGAGAATGAAAGATAATTTCCTGGCCTGTTACAGGTGTTGATCTTCAAACTCTTCATGCAGATACTTTCCTGGCTAGATACAGGTATAGATCTACAATCAGTCGCTCACAGATATGCCTTGGCTAGATACAGGTATCGAATCTGGAACTTCAAAAGGTTTGGTAGAGATAGCTTTCTTGGCTGGATACAGGTGTAGATCTCTGACCTGAGAATGAAAGATAATTTCCTGGCCTGTTACAGGTGTTGATCTTCAAACTCTTCATGTAGATAACTTTCCTGGCTAGATACAGGTATAGATCTACAATCAATCGCTCACAGATATGCCCTGGCTAGATACAGGTGTTGATCTGGAACTGCAAAAGTTAATGGTAATCATCTTTGGATTGACCTTTTCCTGAAAAGGCAAAACATTAGTTGTATGCAATGTCATGATGTATGAAATGCATGATGTCATGATGTTCTCAAAAATAAATGAGATCGTGTCGTATGCACTTTATCATGTATGTAAATAGGAGATATGAAATGTGAAATGTTTATGAATGTATTTTCGTCTGGGAAAATAAATCCTGGACTAATGCCGGGAGCTTGTTAAATCCTGGGCTGATGTTGAAGAGTAGAGTTCTTCGTTTCCGCTGGGGATGATGAACGAAGATGATTGCAAGAATAAACCGGTAGGAGAAGATGACTCCGTTGGGGAAATAAACCTGGTGAAGATATTACTCTGCGGGGAATTACTCTGTGGGAAGAGATGCTTCGCTGAGATTTTAATGATAGCTCCGCTGGGGATTCCGTTGATAAGTTTTGTTGGGGATATAAGATGAGCTCCGCTGGGGATAGGAAGAACTTCGCTGAGGACGTCTTTTCGTTGCCGTTTGCCGAGGATAACCCAGTTAGACTCTGGTGGGGGATGACCTCTTGAATATGGCTGGGGAGAGATTTTTGTACTCTGCAGGGGACAAGCTTCCAGAATCTACTGGGGAGGTGATTCAACTCTCCTGGGGAAACTTTTGGACTACAATGGGGAAATGGCTCCACTGGGGTGTATCTTGTATTCCGCCGGGGAACATTCTTATATTTCTGTCGAGGAATATTAAGACTTCCGGGGATGCTTGCTGAGGAATATCTGTATACTCTGCTGGAGAATATTAAGATCTTCTGGGGATACCCAACTTTTTCAGGACTGATGGTAGACCAACTCTGCTTGGGGGAGAGTATTGCTGACTTGCTGGGGATACCGTGCCTTTTTAGGGCTGATGGGAGATCAACTCTGCTTGGGGAGAGTATTGTTGAATCTTGTCTTACTCTGCGGGGAGTGAAGGTATCTTGGTCATATTCTTCAGCTGAACTTACTTTGGTACCTCGGTGGACAGAGCAACTAGATCGCTTAGACAATTCTTATTGCCCCAGTTTCTGCGGGAGAAGAAGGCCTATGAGGTGCTTGATAACTGCCGATTGACAAATCTTCTTCTGGTAGGCAAGTGACGAGATGACGGGACATAGTCGTACGCTTTGATCCCTAACTTTTGCCTGGACCGCTCTTTCGGGTTTTCAGTCTATCGGGATACCCATTTTTGCCTAAGCCGCCTTTTTAGGTTTTCGACTTGCCGGGTGTACAAATTTTTTTTCTTCATTTTCATCCCTTATTTTGCCCGAACCCTTTTGGTTCGCCGGGAAGCCCTTATTTTTTCCTAGGCCAGTCGACCTAGCGGGTCTTTGATTATGCGTAGTATTTTTTTTATTATGTCCATGCTCTCAGAGTGTAGGGAGTTGTCACTGTCAGTAGTATTGTGTTGCCATACCACCAGAAGATGTTTGATCATGCAAGATTCGTAGCTGGAATTCATGTCCAATGCCCCAAGTGACTCAAGCAGAGATTTGCCCCCGGCTGTTTGGCATTTTGAGAGATTCCTTGAATCTTGACTTGACTGCCCCAGATTATGGACAATGATCATGCCCTGCCCCTTGGTTGGAAATGTTTTTCCACTTGAGGTGATCCTTGAGAAGATTTTTGTTCACTAGATATTCGTCGTGCGAATTTCTCTGCTGTTTGAACAAATAGTCATATGCAAACAATATTATTTCAAGAATGCAAAGCTTATGTTTGTCTTGAAGTTTTTGAAAATACAGTTTTTAATAAAACAGGTGATTTTTGTAAAATGCGATGTCAACTCAAGATTTTACAGCAAGCCCTACAGGAGTCAGGATACCTTTTGTAACAGTATGCTTTCGAACTAACCCATGCTTCAGCTAGGACTTTTAAGGGTTATAACGTGGCCTGGTTCATGGTTTAAGAAACAAAGGATAAAGGCTCAAATTTTATTTGTACCCACCCGCTCTTCGTGATGTTCTTCAAACCTAAACTCAACTAATCGTGCATTTAGATCCTGTTTGAGTCTTTGCTCTGATATTCCGGTGATGGTTCGGATACTGATAGTTTATTTTGAATAGGCAGTCATTTTGTTTTGTTGAGGGTTTGTTGGACCTCTTTCTTTTGATTTTGTTATCCCTGTCTTTTGCCTGACTGTTTCTTTTGTGATTACAGTCAGCGGGATGCCCCAGTTTTTGTAAGTCTCCTTCATAGGTTTTGACTTATTGGGATTTTGTTTTTTTTGGGAGATAACGACTGCCTGTCTTGATGATTATAGGGAACCATCACTGTCTTTAGTTTCGGAAGGACTCCTTTGATTCCATTCATTGTGCACATGGATCAGCTGAGAAAACTACCCTGCCCCAGGTTATGATTAAGGGTTTTAATTTTTTGAAAAGAAAAACTCCAACTTCTTTGGCTCGAAGGGGTTAACTAGGGATTATCTTCCTTATAACTCCACTGTTTAGGATTTGAAACAATGCTTGTACCTCATCAACGGGGTCTGTTCAAAAGCATACTGTAAAGATCGTGGT